GAATGGAAAAGGCGAGCTTCGGAAAAAGTTCCACTGGGTGAAATGCCTCTTCGTACCGTAAAAACTTTGCTGGTTGAATTAGTAACAGGTCTCGGTGAGAGCGTATTTGATCATCTAGATCTCATCGACGATCCACAGCGTAGCTATGTATATCCTTATTTACACCATATGCTTGAAGCATGCCGCAAAAAAGAAAAACAACCAACTAATACAAATGTAGGTCAAGCTTCTAAGCCATTAAGGTTTTGTTTATTATGGAAAGAACGCTACTGGTTTTAACAATTATTTATCTTGTCTATAGATACCTTTCGATAATTCACCAAGTCGACCATCATCAATTGGTTCCGTAAAGTCAGTTGTGAATGATACTACTTTTTCAAATTTCGAAGCTACACAAGTTTCTTCGTCACGTGAACAAAATCGACAATCGCCCTCTCCAAAACAAATAAATGAAGTGCATGCAAGAGGCTCACCGATACCAGAAGTTCCCTCAATAGTTTATTGGGCAAAAGGATGCCAGATTTTAGATTTTCCTGTACTGATCGTGCTAATTTCCATAAACATTTCATTATTAATTCTGTGAATTTCGTATGAGTTGTGACCGCAGCGGCATCCACTTCTCGCAGGTTTGCTGATGATTTTTCTAGAATAGATATCAAAGCACTAATGATAAAAAGAATAAACAACGCATAAATAAAATATTTAAGCTTGTAATTATTTAGTAAATAAGAACATGAAGTTACCTGTATGTTGCATTACGATTACTATTTTCGAGAACTTTCACCATTGAAACATTTAAAGCTTTTGATAATTGTTGGCCTGCTTCCAATACTTGAAGATTTAGATCCAGAAGACGATGAGCAAGCTCTGATAATAATCTCTCAAGCGATTCTTGTGAAACCGCCAAGGCCAAATTCTTATTTGAAAACAACAGAACTAAAGCATTTACAAGATGTTTGCACAGCCGAACAAGGATTTGTGATTGTGGGTCAAGTTGCGTATATGACATTCGCACTTGAATAGTTAGTGCATTAACAAGCTCATCGACATAAGGAATAATTGATTCAGGGGAAGTGTTTAAATGTTTATCCAGCTCTTTTAATGCTTCAATACTTTGTTGATGCTCAAAGCTCATAATTTTAGATATAGCTACTTCTACCAAGAAGACGTTTCCACGTTCAGAAGTACGCTGTCTAGCTGGTGGTATTCCAGATGAATTTACTACTGCCGGACTCTCAGAATTGGTAGCCGTCGAATAATCAACTTTATCAATGTCCATACTAGTATATTCTTTCTTTTGGCTATTATTATCAGAATTATCATTTTGCGATGATGTTTGTCCATTCGGTCCCTGACGGAACCTTGAGAATTGAAGACGAGAAGGTGCAGGTAACCCTCTACCTATGCCACTTGGAGGTA